CCCATCTGTGTCATATGAAAATAGTTATATTTGTTACAATGGGGAAAGTAAAGCTCATCCCAAGGCAAAAGTCTGTTGTCTTTTAAGCTGGTAGGACTAACAAAATTATTTGGATTGACTGGTGTAACAGAGAAAAGAATTGCATCCTTTCTGGTAAATCTATTGGAAAATAACACCAGCTAGATACAAAGCTACATCGGTCATTTTTCCCTTGGGAATTCCCAAATGTTTGCTGCAAACTAAACAGTGCTTCAGTATCACACACTAGTCTTTATAAATGACTTCAATTTCTCACCAATTACTTCCTCTTTAATATAATTCATTTTTTACATTTCCTCTAATTTTTGTTCTCTTAATCTTTATTAACGTAATGGGTTTCAGACAGAAACATTATTTGTGTTCATACGTATTGCAAATGTCTCTGCTGCCTTGTGAACCAGCTGAGAGAAACCTTAATATGATAAGAATTATTGTTTTGCAAAATGAGTATTGTTACATTAGCTGAGCACTGTATTTAAATTGCTTTTTGTTACAATAGGTCTCACTTGGACTATTTGGGTAGTTCAGTACTGTACATGGTAAGGTAGAATTGCACTAATAAAATCAAGCTGCAGGTACATTTCTTCTGCCATTTGGTACTTTCAGTGCTTCATAATTAACTTTGGTCAAAAATTACCACTTCAAGCCCAAGGGATTAATTCTCCCTTAACTATATTTGTGCATTACAGGAAAAAACAGTCACCCCTTGGTTTCCTGGCCTTGGATGAGTGGTTTACCGCATTTTTAACCTACAATAATTGTGGATGAATTCCAGGTGTGTGCTTGCCCCTCATGGAGTGAATTTCATGCTGTTTGATTTCTTTTTATTTAACTCTGGGAACAGAAATGCCCTAAACCAGGTTTTCATGCTCTGGGTTCCCCTGCCCAGCACGACCCGGATGTTGGGGAGGTACTTACTCCGAGGGCTCCGAGCCCAGGGACCAGGATGGATGCTGTAACACAGCACCCATCTGACACACACCCTCCCAGCTTCTAGCACTTAGTAGTTTAACAAAATCCTCCTGATATTTTTTCTTATATTGGAGCACCCACATTCTAATCCCCTCCACACAAATTATTTCCCTTCTTCCTTACTCATTGGCTAGTCAAGCCTTTATCCTTCACCTTGGAAGAGTGCTGACCTCGTGTTTGTTGGACAATTTCTGTTAGCCTCTTTGGCATATATTTGCCTTTTGGAGGAAGATAAATAGAGAAAGGCAGGTGATTCCTGCCAGCGTCAAGGAGAGACTCTCAAGACAGGCTCTTGACAAGTTACTTGGGTGCTACTAAAATAATCCAGTGAGAAAAGGTCATCTTGAATTCAACTTTCATACACAGGCAATCACATTACCATATGTCAAAGGCACCAACCTGCATTAAAAAGAGACAGTGCAGAGGAGTACAAATATTTCAATGTCCAAAAAAGTGTCCCAAGTTCTCCCCCTAAACTATTTTGGGATGATACTGAATGACAATGTTAAACATTACAAGAATCTGAAAATAATTTGAATTTGTTTGCTTTCCTTTTTACTGATTTTGACCAGTTTAGAACCCAATTAATAAGTACCAAAACCTCCAAGAGTCTAAAATTACTTTAAATAAGTAAAAACATGGAAATGTTCACAGAAGTACATAAAATAATTTTTCAAACATCTCTAGTTCTTAGGTCATTATTAAAGGATTTTCTAGATTTTAAATAGGAAACATGAACTGTTAATGACACCCTGCACTAAAGAAGACATTTATGAGCCCTGGCATTCCTACTACAACTGATACTGATACTGACAGACACATGAGTCTGTCTGCAGCACTGGAGAGCACCTGGAAGATTCAGCAGCAAAGACCAGACCTGGCTCAAACAAACACCTAACCAATTCTTGCAGCCTTGTGATGGGCTTAGTATGTAAGGAAAAAGCTACGCACATGTTGCCACCTGAATTTTCTCCATCTAAACCATTGCAGACAAAAATGATTTAAAAAGGGCACAAAAAAAAAGAGGACCACACCTTGTCTGTTCTCCAGGACCGTGACCACCTTGTAGAGCAGCCAGTTACTAATAAATGAATTAGGCTGTATGAATTGAATGCCATTCGTCAGCTAAACAGGGACAGAAATTCTGTTGAGAACGTGTGTGGTGTCACTTGGAGCATGTCAGTCTTCGTGACACATGGGCATGACTGAAGGCCTTTGGGAGATGGGAGGAAAGGAAGGAAAGAAACAGAGATGACTGGCACAATAGCATACTGCCGGAAATCAGTCTGTCTGTTAAGAGGAGGAGGAAGGGAAAGAAGACATACAGATGGTCTGACTCCCAGTGGTGACAGGAGCAGTTGGTCTCCTCTCTTTCTGATAGTGACAGTCGCTGTCACCCTATTTTGAAGTCTCCTAATGAAAAAGTGGGAGTCAGTACGGTACTGAAAAGAGCAAATGGATAAATCACGTAACTAATCGTAACCATTTGGTCTAGGAAGAGTGATGGAGGTTGGTGGTGCCTGGTGACAGCCTGCAATAGCTGAATGCGCACTTTCCCACTCTGAGAACTTCAACCTAAGGAGGAAAGAAAGTTTGAACTATTTATTACAGAAAAAGGTCTTTTAGAGTCAAGCTAGCTACTGAGTGCATGTTTACAATGCTGCTTTCCTAGCAATGAATGACAGCTCGGGACCCATAGGCTGCCATCTCATTCAGTCCCATTTCACTGTAGCATCTTTTTAAATAGGCCAAAAGGACAACTTATGCACATACTTTGCTATCAAAATAGGAAAGTACTAAAAAATGTCCCCCAAGAGTAAGATTATTTTCTCTATTAACTCTGTACTGCACCCAAAAGGCACCATTTTACCTAAGAAGCAGCCAGTGCTCCAACATGTAGAGAGAGAGATGGATGGTTCTTGGTTGGGGAAGGAATAGAGCATTTGCTCTTGGGAAACCTTGCTTTCTCTACACAGTGCTATCATTGGCTCTTTTTTTCTCAGGGTGGTGGAAAAAACATTTATTTTTGCCAAGATAAGATTTTCAGAAACACATAAAATGTTTTAGGACCCTATGGGACATTTTTTTTTCAAAGTAAATTCTATTTAATGATTTTCCCTTAAAAAAAAAAAGAAAAAAAAAGGAAGAAAAAACCCACCAGATTTTTACAGGCTTTTTCTTCACCCATTCCACTCATTTCAAAGAAAGTCAGTTATCTAGCTCTTTACATAAAACAAGTGAAATAACAACATGAATTTAAAGCAGATCAAATATACTGAGAATCAACCCCTCACATGGATGCTGCCAGTAATTCATTTCAATTTCATTTAGCTTAATTCTTTTTGGAACGGAAGCATACTCAATCAGATTAAGGCCATTTTAATTCACATTTGTCCCCTCTAATATGACACCCTACACTTACTTGGATTAAATTCCCCTCCCATGTTTAAAAAAAGTCTTAGGTAACCATAAACTTGGACCTAAACTTTGCATCTTTTTTGCACTACTGAAAATTGGACATGGTTTTGTAAGTTATTTAGATGCTGTTGGATACTTTAACAATGATCTTGTTTTTTTGTTTGTTTGTTTGTTTTCTGAAAATGTCACTAAACATGAGCTGTGCTAGAAAGCCTTTGTCACCTGAATCTCATGTACAAGTCCATCCACCCTCTGACTGCTCATTTGCTTGGTCCACCTGGAGAAACGGAGGCTATGGGTGCTCTGCACCATGGCATTCTGCCCTCCTGGAGCTCCTTCCATCACAGAAAACCCTGGAACTGCCTTGGCAACTGCATGTCAGGCTGAGCAAAGGACCCTGTTCGGTTTTTAAAAGAAGTATACCAAGATTGGGAAAAACCACAAAGTATGGTTAAAGTCACTGCATGGAGAAAGACAACAAACTTTCATAACAAACACACCACCACTGCACTTGATGTCTGACATATGATCCCCACAGTGCAAAATGGGAACAATTAGAGTGTTTCTAGAGAGAAACTGAAAAACAGAGGTAGACCCAAGGGAAGGCAGGCAGGATATTATTCATCTTCCACGGTGATCTAGCTGGGCTGTAAGTATCCCCAGTATCAGAGCAGAGAGAGAGTTAATGAGAGGTCCTCTCTCATCTCGGTGCATCTGCAGTAAATCTGCAGTGCTCATGCATAACTTCAGCTGTCTGAAGATTGCTTCATCTCCAGCAGCTTCTAGGAAAGGAGAGTTTGAAACCCAAGAACTAAGGACAAGGTGTCCTGGATTTTTTTTTTTCAACTTTTCCCTCTCTCTCTTTTTCTAACAAAGGATAATTAGAGCATTGATGGCAAATACCTACAGCCCTCTTGGTCAGAAGATATCAGGAGATTCAGTCAATAGTTCATTAGGCCATACGATTAGTCTCTTCTCAGAGACTAGTCATCCAAACTAAGCTGTAGTGCTATACCTTTTTTTTTTTTTTATTTTTTAAAAAAATGCCCGGCATTAGCTTGAAGGCAAAGCTGGTTCCCAGGAGCTGTGCTGTTTATTCCCTCCTGATATATTGCTGTCAGCAAGCAGCATCTCTGCGAGTGTCAGCAGTTACATGCATGCACAGCTAGAACCTGTGTAGGTCAGGGAGGGTCTGCATTTCTGCAAGACAGATAATGCTGGAGAGCATTATCCTTTTGCTTGCTGCTACTCCCTGTGAATCAGTGTAGACTCCAGTAACTCCCTGCACAACCAGGAAAAGATTTCTCTATTTTTTTTCTCAAATGCTGGGCCCAGGGTAGGCAGAGCATGTTACAGAGGAGAAACGATACTCTCATGACCCGTGATTGCCTTTAGATTGCTCATATTACATGTAAACATGGCAGTCCCTTTTCTTCCATGGCATCCTCTCGGTCATGCCTTTCAAAGTGAATCCCCAAGCTCTTATGCAAAAGCACAAAAGATGCCCAGCAGTATGCACAACTCCAACAAGGTGCCACTGAGTTACCGTTAAACCATATTCCAACGTTTACCTTAGTTCCTTGAAGGGGTCTGCCCTGACATTGGGAGTTTCTATAGATTTAGGGAACACTGTGCCTTCTGCTCCTGAAATCACAAAACAAAACAGAAGACAAATTGTAAACATCATAAGCTGTTATCAGGGGAGTGATTGTCAAATCATACCTAGGTGCAATTTAACCCATCGTCTGACCCCATTTCTCTATTCCACATATCCCTTCTGTCCCCAGGAAAAGCCAGACCTTGATCATCTGAAATTGGTTGCCTTGATTACAACTGGGATTTGCCTGTAAACTGCACTTCTGGCTGTAAAGGCAGCTGCTTGCACCCCGACTGTGGGAAGTGTTTGCCAACCCAGCTGATGGAGGGAGCTTGGAAAAGATACCCTATTGGTAACCAGGCATCTAATCCAGCTAACGTCCCTCATTAATGAACTTGGATGCATGTCATGACATTATTGCTTTTGCTGGGCTCTGAGAGATACTCAAAGGAGAAAACCAAATTTTGTCTCAATCACTGCAAATGCCTCTCCAGTCAGCCTGTGCTCCTGTCTGGGGAAAAGTAGGGAGGTGTCCACCTGATGAAATGCAGACAAGCAGGCAGCAAACTCTGCTCTAGTTCCAGCCCAGCCACTAATTTGATATGTGACCCAGAAGTCATTTAACTTCTGTTCATTTCCCCCTTCTCTTAGAGATGGTGAGGAAGGCAACACTATCCCCATTTGCTGACTGTTTTTAGATTGTGAGCTGTAAACTTCTAGGTAATATGAACAGCTTTCCTAAGTTTCAGGTCATTGCAATCTTCTGTGGCCACCTGCATAGCCTAGGTTGGGCCACTTCACCCAGCCATCCCTGCACTGGGTCTGTATTTTGTGACCGAGCCATGCTGTCCTTCTAGGAAGATGCGCTCTCCCTATACCATAAACCAAAGGCAGCCCATGCCATCCTCTGATAAGCTTTTCCACTAATTGTTCTAATTTAAAAATATGCATCTAGTATGAATTGGTCTCACTTCAGCTTTCAGCCACTAAATGTTGGGTCCTCAGGTGCCAGCCAATCATCCCTGCATGAGCAGACTCTCTACCTTCTGCAGATAGCTACTGATGGTGACCCAGCCACACCAACCTTCTCTGATTCTTTGAAAAGTTACAGCTTTCTGAATCATTCACTGTGAAGCAGATTTTCTGGACTTCTCATTGCTTTTTTTTCTGAAGCCATTTCACTTTTAAAATACTCTTGGGACGCGGGAGTCGCCAAGTGCTGTCACTGATGCTTTATGCTGCAGAAAATAATTTCCTCACTCCCATTGAAACTTCCAATTAAAACACGGATAAGAATGGTACTGTTTTATACACAGCAGTGCACTAGAAATTAACGTTCACGTTCTCTAATATACAGCTGCCTACTCAGTGAGCAAGTATAACCTGTATTCTTACATTTAGACCTGTGTTCTTACACATTGTGAACAATTAGTCATTCATTATCTGTAGTCATCACAGTTTTTTCAGTGTCAGCATGCAAACAGCACCAGTGGGATTTCTTAATTTCATTTTTTTTCTTTGATAAAGCTATTGGTGCAAACTACAGATCCTGATGAGACCTTTTACATATACTGTATGTATGTAGATCTCTCCTAACACATGCTTTTACAATTGTTACCTATGTGTAGTCTGGAAGTCACCACTACAGAATAAAAAATGTTCTGAGATGATGCAAAAAATATTAATACAACACCCTTCTGTAACTTCTATTATAAGTGAGAAACACCTGTGGCTTCAATAAGATTACACTTTCTTTGCAGGGAAACAAATCAACTAAGCTGTCCCACCACGTTGAAGAAAAAAACACAGAATGAAAATAAGCACTCTAACATTTATAAAAAACCCCAACACCTTTTAAACCTAGAGATAAACAAAGTAATCTCAAAGATGATAAAAGCAGTCTAAAGTTTGAAGCTTTATACTTGGGAATTGAAATTGATCCTATGGCACAATACAGATATTTAGCTCTTAACTTTACTATAAACCTTCATCGCTACAAGCTGTCAAAAGCAGTTGTAACTTGCCAGCCATGAAGGTTATTATTATCAGATCTGTCCTCTCTCAACAGTTTCCAAATGATTTAAGTCTCTGTTTATCCACACAATTGCCTTGGCTATTAGCTTTGCAATGAAACTTAGCAAAAGATGCAGCCCGCACACATCTGCATAATAAACCAGTGACTTTTTGATGGGAGGAAGATGAGGAAGTGCAGCTGAGAGGTGCATATAGATATTCTTGCACCCTTTTCACCTCCATTGCTTAAATAGTGACCTTATGCTGGTAATTTTAATTCATTTTTACACACTGTAAGTCAGCTACTTAGGTTAAGCAAAGCCCAGATAATGATCTGCACATAACCAGAAATGCCTGCAGAATAAGGAGAAAGTTTAACATATTTCTAATGACTTGGGGTTTTCCAGGCTCTCATCATTTAATTTAAATGCAGGAAGCAACTTTGGAAACAAAGCCAGCAAAGACTCCAATGCAGTCATTTCAGGAAGGCTGAAAAAAAAAAAAAAAAAAAAAAAAAAAAAAAAAAAAGTCTGCTATTCCTTTCCTCCATCTCATTTTCCTTTCCCTACACACAGTTCTTAAACTCTCTTTTCCTGTCACCTTTATTCTCAGATCCATGGAATAGTCCCTTATACACTGGGAACAGCAATGAGATCTCCAAATCCTTCTGTTTCTCTCCTTTGATATGAATTAGGAGTGAACACTACCTGCCTTGATAAGGCTTCCTGCCTTCACAATACAATTTCTTATTCTGTTTTAAGAACACAAGATCTCCCAAAGGGCCACCTGTCCCTGTCACCAAAAAGGACATTAGCCACGAGGGGATGCTCAGGGACCCAGACTGGGACATCCCTCCCTTGACTCTTGGCTGTCAGCAGCTGAGGGATTCCTTCAGCTGGCTGTGTAACCCAGCAACCGGAGAGACACTGATAAGCTTTCACCACCTCATCTAATTACCATTTTAAGTGTCGACATTTCTGTAGCAGGGTCTCACAGATGAGTTAAATACTCTGGAGAAGTTCTTCCCTTGTTTTTAACCTGCTGCCTGATGATTTCACTGGATGATTTTTCTGCCTTGGACTGTGAAAAACAGTAAATAACCACCATTTTCTTTCTGTGCTACTGGAAATTTTATACACCAAAAAAAGTGCCCATTCCCACCAGCTTTCTCTCTTCTATGCTGCAGAGTTTTGGTCTCTGACTGGGAGACTGGTGGCTCCTGCAGCATGTCCCAATGGAAACGACTGCCTTGGACATATTCCATTAAACTGGACATTTGTGTCAAAGTCTGGCTCTTGGCCACTATGGAAGTCCCTAGCCAGGCTGTGATAGTATCAGTGTTGGATGGTGTTGCAAATGAAGGCATTAGGCTAGTGGAAGTGACATCATTTAGTGGTTTTACTGAAAGCTTTGGCAAAAAATGGAGGAAAGTTTCAAGGAAGTGTGATGTTGACACTGAATTGGGCTATTCTGGCTCTGCAGAGAACTGGGATGTCAAGAAGAAACATATATTTGTCCTCAGGAAGTGGAAAGAGAGAGGGGGGTGTGAAATTCAAAAATATAAAGTCCAAGGTCATATGCTTAGAAAGTAGTAAAAATGTCTTCTCCATGTTGGATGCTTCCAGGATGAGAACATCCCTGGATAAAGACTGATTGCTGCTTATGATTCATGGCAGCAGGACAGGGCCAAACGGGGGGCAAATATGACATTAAACTGAAAGGCAAGAGGCAAGTCTAACCTCAACATGAAAATAATCACATTATTTTAAAGATCATCAGTGAATTCCTGAATTATTATGTAGCCTCCAGCTCAACCCCAGTGAGGAAAGTATAGTCATGACTGCAAGAACGGAAAAAGTCTATCCTACAAAAGAAGACTGGAAGGACTTGGCTTTTTAGCTTAGCAGCATGATGGCTAAGGAAGGACATGAATGCTGTGTATAAATATATTAGGAGGATAAATAACATGAAGGAGAAAGAACCACCGGCTCTAGGCCAATGTCGTCATGAGAGTAAGTGGCAGTAAACTGGTCCCAAATACACTTGGGAAGAAAAGTAAGCATTTTCTAGCTAAAAGAGGAGCAAAAATGGGAGCAGCTTTTCAGTTAGATGGGATGGACAATCTAACAGATTTGACAAATTCATGACTATAAGACGTGGTGTCTCAAAACCAGGGGATAAGATTTGCAGGACCAGAAAGTGCATTCTATTGTTACACGCCTCTAGTCTTATTTTCACTGTCCTCTACCTGAGGAATCATGGGTTTTGGCAAATGATATTAAGGCACAGATCCAACAGTTCAAGACTTAGCTGCTACAATCTTCCTTCTCAATCAAAGCTACTATACCCCGTTCTCACTTTATAGAGTATAAAGCAAACATAAAAAAAATTTATTATTGTACAACACAGCTTCTGCTTCCTGAATTATCTGTTATTAAAACATTTGATATCTACCATGAAAAATGCATAATACAAAATTTCTATTTCACTGCAAAGTACTGAAAATATTTTTTTTTCATCTTATGAGACTGCTGCTGCTAAGGATAACTTACCTGCAAACAGCCAAAGACAGTTATGAGAAAACAATCGTATAATTTGTATTTAAACATACTATACTGTACATCCCTAGGCAATAAATTATTCTTTCTCACAGTATTATATCAGAGCGACTTCGATTAAAAGCCATACCTACTGATTCCCTCTTCTGACACTGTGTAATTTACCACCAATAAATGTTCATAAACAGTTTGACTGAAAAATCCATAAAGCCATTTCAGCTTTATTTTAAGTTCCATTTAATGTCCCTCAAAAAGGATTTCATCAATGTGTTTCCATTAGCTGGTTCTCTGCCCAATAACTTAATTCCACACAATCAGTCAGGAACTTATAAAGCATATGACAGGATCTACCTAAAGTGTTTTGAATCACCATAAAGATTCACACAAAGAGTGGTTGGGGTTTTTTTTTCTTCCTTCTAGTGCATAAAGTGTGAGGGCACAAATGTCAAAGACCCCTGTATGTGTTCACTTCATGC